TGTTGTTGTTGTCTTCACATTAAAAACCGTTCCGATCTCTCTCTACCCAGTACCTTCGTATGTCCGTACTGATCCAACACTCGACGCGGTCGATTCCCGTGGTCACAGGTTGACTTACCCTAAAAAGGTACACTCAAATAAACTATGTATAAAAGTGCCATTGCATTGTTTCTTGATAGGTCATTTTGTCGTTTCAGTCGTCAGCATCGTTGGGATTTGAAGCTGCTGCTTGGTATTGCATTCTTGTTGACGTTGTGTGGTTATTTCTTTATCTGAATCAATCGTGTTGGAGATTAAATGCGTCCGAGGTAGCACATGAACATAGATAACCCCCCTTCCCCCGTTCCCCTCCCACCCTGCCGCCCCTCCCCCAAACCTCGAACAAAGGTCCAAAAACGGCTGCGGCGAGAGATGCGCGCGGCCCTCGCCGTAGCCGACGTCCTTCTCGCCCCGACGACCCCGTTTCCGCCGTTTCCCAGCTGCGGCCCCCCCGCCGACCCGGCCTCCCTCCTACTCAACGACGTTCTCACCGTTCCGATAAGCCTAACGGGGGTCCCTGCCGTCTCCATCCCCGTGGCAACAACGCCTACCGCACGGAGAACAACTCCGGCCGTTACAAATAGGACTAGCAGTTGCGGTTCGGACCGGGGTGGGGCGGGGGGTCCAGGAGGTGCGGAAGCTGGAGTTGGAGCGGCGGCGCCGGGAGCCGGCCATTGTCGTCTGCCGCTGGGAATGCAGGTGGGGTGTTTGTTCACCGCTGCTGTGCGTATGTTGTTGCCGTTTTTTTTTGCCGTGTGAGGATGATCTCAGCGTTGAGGGCGCCGGCCGCGATTCAGGATGAGCGGGGGTTCAGGAGCGAAAACGATTTGTAGTCTGCTGGGCCCCCTCGAAGAGGGAACCGACCGTCGAAAATTAAACGAAAGCTTCCGGCTCTCAGGTTCGAAACACGACCCCGAGCATCGTGCGCGAGTGGTCGCAGATCGACGGCGGGCCGCATGGTGCGTTGAGTACGTTTGCGCGGTACGGGTTGTGTGTCCTTGCACAAACGTTTGTCGGCTGCACGCTTTGCTGGGCTGCGCTTGGACATGCACGCGACGTGCCTGTTGCTGCGTTTTCCGGACGCGAGGAAAACGCTAGGCCAATGCTCGTACGCACGCACAAGGGACGGTAGAACCCTAAAAGATAGCAGGTGTGAAGAGCTTGAGATGGCTACCGGTCGGTTTCGGTGGGGCGTCGTCGCGGTGATTGGATAGTCTAACGAAACGGAACATGCGCGAGGCAGTGTGGCACCCTCCCCCCCCCCCCCCCCCCCCCTGCATGTTGGGAGAAAAAAAAACCCTGGTCTCCCAAAAAGGGTGGGTTATTAAT